CAAACAGATTTGCAGATGGACAGACAGACACACAGATGCACAAACTCTTTCAAATATATGGGAGCCATACAGGTTGAACTTCTGAAATCTGGCATTCTCGTGTCTGGCAACATCTGTGGTCCAGCAGGACCATGGATAGTGCTGGACCAGAGAGCCTGGCTGGGAGTGAGGGCAGCCAGAGTCATGAACAAAGCCCTGGCCAGCAGCAGCAGGTCCAGTGGCTGGGGGGCCCCCTCGGGGCGCAGCCCCACCCAGGGCTGGTGGCAGCTGCCCCGACATAGCAAGGAGTGCAGCCCTGGCCAGGAGCAGAGCCCAGTGGCTGGATCTGATATCCCAGAGGGGCCAGCTTTAGAGGAGAGCCTTGACCTTCTCTGGTCCTGCAAACTGACTGCTTCGGGACCGCTCAGGTCTTGTGGGTAACAGACCAGGGAGATCCAACCTGTAATAATATTTCAGCCTTATTCATCCAGCCCTGAAGAGCAACCTTTCTCCTTATTTGCTCACAAATCTATCAACCAGCAAATAGAAAAAGAAATACATTAAATGCAAAAAACGTATGTGAATGTAACATTGACGGCATAGGTTTAAATACAGAGAGGCAGTAGAAGTTATGGTTTTCAGAATAACAATTTTCCCATTTAGTGCATATTTTAGAGCACGTGTTAGTATATTTATTTAGCTATTGTATGTAGTGATCTCTGTGCAATATGAGGAAGTTCATTTTGCTATGAGACCATTAACTTGGATACATTTCAGAATGTGCCATAAGATTAGAATAGCATGGTCAGTTTTGGTTACCTGATAAACATCACCCTTCCCAGGAACAGCCCAGAAGGGTGGAGTAGTCCCCGACCAGTGTGGGTGGGGGGCTATTTCAGTGGCCCACAGCCACGGCATGATATGGCAGACTGATTAATCACTTAAATATATAGTTTAACTGGTTAACATTTTAAATGGAATTTTACATCCTTATCTGGGGCAGGGAAATATTTAAAATCCCAGATAAGTTTTGCAGTTCTTCTTTAAAACATGAAGTGACTAGTAGAAATCCAAGGGAAATCTGGCAGTTTCAAATTAAATCTGTTGGCAATTGAGGCCTGAAACCTGGCAAATTATATTCATACTGTGTGGGGAATGGATCCTGTTCTGCAATGAGATACAGCAGGAAATTTCTCTCCATGGCAGTAGGAGCAGCCAGATGAATGAAGAGAGTACAATCCGAGGATAAAATGAATATTGTTTGGTTTTTGGCCCAAGGGAGCTTCTGGGGGAGGGTAAGACAAGCCCAGGCTTGCAATGGGCTTCATCAAAAGGACTGGATTTGCTGTTGTGCATGCAAAAATAGGCAGGTCTTGGACATGTTGCAAAGACTAATGAGAGGCAAAGACCATTTCTGTTGACCACCAGTTGTTCTAAATGTATTTCGGGCTCTTGCTGAAAATGTAGAAACTCATTACACAAAAAGAGTTCCCATTTTGGCAGGCTTATTCGGGGGCTGTGGTCACCAACCAGTAGATCACGATCTACCGGTAGATCTCAGAGGCTCTAAGAGTAGCTCTTGAGCCCTCTCTGAACTGCGCGCATGCACAGTGCATTTAAATTAGATTTCCTTATTTGAGGAGCAGCTACTCACCGAGCAACAACACAGGTGAGTAACTGTGAGAAATGGTGGGAGCTGGGAGCTCGGGAGGGCTGAAATACCCCAGCCAGCTGACTGTGGCTTTCAGCTGAAAGAGGCTGCCCCGCGCTCCAGCTGATCAGCAGCTTCTCCTCTGCGCCTGCCCACGTGGAACTTGGTGCACCCTGGCTGAGCGCCATGGCCAGCTGTCCGGGCAGCCACTTCTCTTCCCTCCAGCCCGGCTGCCCTGTGCTCAGCCCATGGAGGTTGCGTCTAGCTCCAGCTGTGCTGGACCAAGCTTCCCAGGCTGAGCGCAGGATCACAGATGCCCATCTGATGGACTATATACGACTAGCAATCTCAGACTACAACCCAGACTTCAAGACACTGGCAGATACTGTTCAGTCACGGGTGTCACACTGAGACTTTGTTATTGGAAGAAAAAATATATAATTATCAATACTTGATTTTAGATTTACAAAATAGCAGAGAACAAAATGTATAATTGTAAATGCTTCATTTGACATTTAAATAGCATGAATTTAAATGGACCATTTATTCATAACTATAAACGTGATTTTAATTTTATATATTGCATAATTTAAAAAAAACTGTTTAACAGAGTATATAAGGGCTGGGGATAGCAAGTGATGGACAAGAGAACAGAGAGGGCGGAGCTTCGAGGAAGGGGCGGGGCTTCAAGGAAGGGGTGGGGCGGTAGATCTTCACCTGTTCTGAGACTTAAAAAGTGATCTTGAGCATAAAAAGGTTGGAGACCACTGTTCTAGGGGGATATTGTAGGTTTGCTTGGTGACAGTTTGGTTCAACTTCCATCTTTCAAGTATCTGGGCAACTGGGGTACATACAAACAGATCCCCCTAAAGCCCATAGGAGCATTGCAGTGAGGGGTATCTGTTAGCTCATGATGGTCCTCACTTTCTCTTGCTTTGTAGGAAGATTTGCTCAATCTCTTCAATGAAACCCCTTTTGGGACGCGGATCACTTTTAAAAGAAGCCCTTTTGGGGGCAAAGATTACCTGGCAGTACTGTCCCAGTGCAGCAGCAGTGTCTCTAATAAGTGAGGGTTAGCTAATACTGGGGTTCAGCACTATAACAAAGGAACAAGGTCTCCCCAAAGATGCTCGAAGGGGGGCCATTTGGATCTCCAGATCTTCACGTTGTAGGGGACAGCTCCTGTGCTCCAAAGAGAATAAACCTTTGTCTCCATAGCAACACACTGGGCAGAATGATGAAGGAAGAACTAGTTTCCTTTTCCTTAGGCTCTTTCTGTAGTTTATTCATGATATGAAGAAACATCAAACCCTTCATTTTGGGCATATATGTCAGACCTTTGTGACCATAGTCCATTTAAGAAGATTGGCCACAGGGAAATATTTCTTAAGACACGAACTGTTCAATTTTGCTGAACAACCCTAAAGAGAAAAGCTAGAGGGCACTGTGCTACAAGGAGATCACACTCTTCAGGCGAGTAAGTAATCAGTAGCACTAAAGTTATCTGGCCTCAGAAGCCAGACTTTAATAGATGTCAGCAAAAATAGGGACAGAATTTCAAAGGTGAATTGGGAAGTGTAGGTGCTTAACTATACATTATTTTCTTTTGTTATGAAAACTAAAATAAAGCTAAATTTATTCAAGAAATTACCTTAGAGACAGAAATCAAAGAGTAGGATGAATTGATCAGTTTTTCATCGTGGCAAAAAGTTAACTATCAGGTGTTCCAAGCTTGCATTACAACCAGTGCTTAATGTATTTATTCCATTTTTCTTTTCTTTACATAAAATCTATGTAGTTAAGAAGTTTTAACAAGTTTTCAAATTCTTGCCATGAAAATATCAGAAACAAAACAATAATTGCAGTGGTTAGCTTTTGTGTTAGAGACATTATACAAAAATTTAGTCATCAGGTCTTTCTATTTAACAGGGAATTACCATATTAAAAATTGAGCATCATTACTACATCCATCGTTTCTAGAGACTTTATTAATTTGAGTGAAATCTCTCTATACAGGCAGTCCCCGGGTTACGTACAAGATAGGGACTGTAGGTTTGTTCTTAAGTTGAATCTGTATGTAAGTCGGAACTGGCGTCCAGATTCAGACACTGCTGAAACTGACCGCCAGTTCTGACTTACATACAGAATCAACTTAAGAACCCCAGGCGTCCCCAAGTCAGCTGCTGCTGAAACTGATCAGCAGCTGATTCCAGGAAGCCCGGGGCAGAGCAACT